AGAGCTCGTTAATGTAGACATAGAGCTTAGCTGGCCGGTTCCGAGCCCGAGACAGAACCCGGGAAAGGATGTTGCAGAACTCTGCAGAGGCCAGAAACAGAGACTGGGCACGCTGCTGCACTTTGTAGAGGAATGGGACCACCTCAGGGTGGTCCGCTGTCTGCATCTTACACAGTTCAAGGAACTGGAGAGAGTTCATGGGAACGGTGGGAGACAAGGAAGGCATAAAAAAAATGGAATTAGTGGGAAAGCCAGAACAATAGCCAATCCAATCCCCTTCCCCTTCCAACTTCCCTAGCAGGTCATAGAGGTTCACACCTTTAATCCCAGCTGTCAGGAGGCAAGTGCAACTCTGTGTGTTCAAGGCCAGCCTCACCTAGACAGTTCTAGGCAGCCAGGGCCACAGAGACCCTGTCTCAAAAACAAAAGGAGACTTCTCAGAAGCTTACCTCATCAAACAGCCTCTCATTCTCCAGCTTGTAGCACTTTCTGCCACCTGACTGACTGCTTCCTCCATCCCCATGGGACTCAGAGGGACCAGAGGCTTCTGGCCCTGGTGAGACAGGATTGGAGGGCAGGTGGGAGGGCCCCGGCTGTGCAGCTGCTTCGTCTTCGTCATCATCGTCCAGCACAATAACACTGTCAGAGGCGGCCATGGGGGATCAAATCCCCCTAAGGAGGAAAGGGTTGGGAAGGTCAGAGTTCCGGAAGGGAAGGGGCCAAAGGAGGAGCACCTCCTGCAGGGCCCCGCCCCATCACGTACCCCCAACTGTCTTCAACAACTACCAGTTTAAAGCAGTTCTGGGGGCAAACCTCCCATAAAATCTTAAATCCCCACCCTGAACTCCACCCCTCAATTTCCGGTCTCTCAGTTGTGTTTTCCCCTCTCTGTCAGTTTCCCTGACTCTGTCCACAAAAACGAAACCCCCGTCGGTGCCACCTCCGCCCTCAAACACAACGTCTCACTCCGAGTTTTTCCTTTTTGTTTTTTTGTTTGTTTGTTTGTTTGTTTGTTTTTCAGGACAAAGATTCTCTGAGTAGGCCTGGCTGTCCTGGAACTCGCTCTGTAGACCAGGCTGGCCTTGAACTGACAAAGATTCCCCCCTTCTTCTGCCTCCCGAGTGCTGGGATTAAAGGCGTGCGCCACCACCGCCTGGCTTCTGCGAGTTTTTCCCTAACTCCAACTCTTGACTGCCAGGTGAAGCCCAATCAGTCCCCTCTCCCCTCCTACAGCTCTGTCCATGTTCCATCTTCCATTGGGATTCCTCAAACCGGGACTTTAGGCTGGAGATTTCCACCTTAAGTCCCCTGCCTCTCACCGCACCCCGGTTCCCCCCATTCTCTGACTCAACCGACAGCGAGCTCACCACCGGGCACTCCTGGTAACCTGGGCTCCCAGCCGCAGGTGGGGCCAGTCTCCTGGATCAGCTTCCCGCCAAGTGCCCCCTCCCCCAATTCAGCCCTAGGCCGCCTCACTCCTCCTCGGGGCTGGCAAGATACCATACAGCTTGCCGCTCCAGGCTCGGCACTCAGGTCCCGCCGATCCCTCGCCCTCGCCACTCCTGCCCCGCCAGCCCCGCTCCGCGCACGGCCCGGCCCCCACCTCTGAAACGGTCCCTCGAGGATCCCCTCACCGCGGATCACAGAACCTCGCATGGTTCCCTCCGCCTTCCTTTCCCCCAACCCCCACCGTAGGCCCCACTACGGACCGGAAGCCGTAGAGTTTCCGCCAGCAGTATCTGCGGGCGGCCATGTTGCTGTACGGCACCCAGTCCTCTTGTTAGCCGGAAGCGTTGCGTGACCCGCCCACCTAGGACACCGCCCCCAGTGCTCAGACGCTCAGGGGGGCGGGGCTTTGGCACTCCGGTACGGGGCACGCCATCTTGCTGTACGGCACTGGCCTGGCCTGCACAACCCTCCTCGGGGAAGGCGTGGAGCTCTCAGCACCTGGTGCCTGCCGAGGCCCCCGGACCAGTCGGACCTCCCCGACGCGATCTGGTCGAGGGCGGGGAAGATCTAACCCCTGCTCCTAGAAGGGGAAGGAACCCCCACACGGTACCTAAGGAGCTGGGCTCTCTCCACAGCTGTGCACGGCCCCAGGGAACGGAATAAATTTTTTTGCCTGTGCTGGGTTGGTGTAAGCCTGACACTCGCTACCGTGCTCTCTCTCTCTCGGGCCCCGGATTCCCGTCCCTTCCCGAGGCGCCGCGCAGATGGAGGCGGTCAGGGGCGGACGAAATGAGCACAGCACGCCGCGCGAGTGAGGTATTGTTATTATTGCCGTCGGTGAGCGCTGCCCACGCGGGCACCACCGGCGTGGCGCCCGGCCCTCTGCTTTTCCGGGGGTCTTGCTGACCAGAAGGCTGTGCTTCACGGTGGTGTTCGCAGGGCCTGAGGCGGGGCACGGGCAGGCGGAGAAGCCGCGTAAACTGCCTCTGGGAGCGCCGAAGATGAAAAGAGGCTCATAAAATCCCTCGGGGCGTCTCCTCCCGGAGCTGCGGAGAAAAGAGGGGCGGGAGACCCGCTGTGACGCCCGCCGGCTAGCGAGGCGAGGCCCGCAGGTACGCTGGTGAGGAGGCCAGAAGTGAACACCCCTGGCGCTAAGGTCGCCCCTCTGCCGACTTCCACGTTCCTCAGGTGGTGGACATCTTGCCTATTCGCGGAACCGAGAAGCCCAGTGGTTCGCAGAGGACCCGAACCTCAAACTCAAAAAAAAAAAAAAAACACCCCACCTCGCTTCCTGTCCGGCCCTCTGAGCTTATGGCATTTAAATTGGGAAACAGAAAAGTTCTTCAATAGTTAACGGAACTCTAAAGATAATGAAGGATTTAATTTCCATACCCTTGGGTTTCTCAAAATGGGTTTTCCTGAGTGGATGCCTGAAATGAAGGTTCCCCATCTTTTCATAATTGTTTATTTTCTGTCTTATGTCTGTGTGTGAGTGCAGGGGCCTGAGAAGGTGAGAAGAGGTTGCTCTCGCAGGTTCTCAAGACCTACATAAAGACTCAATCACCTGTAACCCCGTTCCCAGCCATCCAATAGGCATGCTCGTGATGAACATACGTGCAGGCAGGCAGAACATCCGTACGCACAAAGTAAAATGAATATTTTTAAATTAGTAACTAAGCAAGCTGACGGCAAGTCCTAGGCTGAGGGGACGTGGAAGAAGACGGGATGGAAGGAAGGAAGGAAAGCCCAGGACCGTGGGAAACATCTTCCATGGGAGTAGGGGGGTGAAAACGGCAGGATAAAGTACATATGAATAATACAAACATGGGTTTGCGCTGTTTGCACACATCTGTTCTTGCAATAATTGCAGCTACTCAGAACTGCAGGTGTTTCGCCTGCGTGCATGTATATACACCCCCGTGTGTCTGATGCTCACGAAGACCAGAAGATGGAGCAGCTGGGGGAAGGGAAGCCCAGAGCTGGAGCAGGTCTGGAAGTTTAGGGAAGAGGTGAGAGAGGCCAGGATGTTAGTAATTGGGGCTTTGAAAGAGATAACAGGTATTTATGGATGAGGACTGTAGGAACCTGGGGGCTAGCATGGGTTCTGATAGGCCGAGAGGCAACATGCACACATGTCAATGGAGAAGCCATCTGTCCCTTCTTCCAGAGGCAAGGGAAATCAGTCCTCTTTGCAGACAGGAACCTGTTTCACAAATTCTTGAGGAATTCTGACTTTTATCTGTCTGCCAGAAACCCTTCTATAGCCCAGTTTGAGGTGGGCCAAGATGATCACTTCTGGACATATGCACGGCCTGAGACCAAACTTGTCCCGCTGTTTCAATCCCGAAGCGGTGGTTGAAGAAGCCTAAGTCAGAACACCGCAGAGACACCTGCACGTCCATGTTTATTGCTGTAGTGCTCACAAAAGCCGAAAGATGGATGCGGCCTAAATGTCCATCAACAGACAAAGAACACATATACACTGGGGTCTTATTCAGCCGGGAAGAAAATGTGACATTTGCAGGAAAGCAGAGGAAATGGAAATCACTCAAGAAAATTAAGCTATATTCAAAAGAATAGATTATCCCTTTTATTCTCTCATATGTGGGAATCTGGATTTAAACTTTATATACCATATGTATACAGAGGGGTGTGTGTGTGTTCATCTGTGTGTGCTTGTGTGTGTGTTCATGTGTCTGTATGCTTGTGTGTGTGTTCATATTGTATGCTTGTGTGTGTGTGTATGCTTGTGTGTGTGTTCATTTGTGTGTATATGCTGTGTGTGTTCATGTGTGTGTTTGTGTGTGTATGCTTGTGTGTGTTCATGTATCTGTATGCTTGTGTGTGTTCGTGTGTGTATGCTGTGTGTGTTCATTTGTGTGTATATGCTTGTGTGTTCATGTGTGTGTGCTTGTGTGTGTATGTGTTCATGTGTGTATGCTTGTGTGTGTGTTCGTGTGCATGTATGCTTGTGTGTGTGTATGCTTGTGTGTGTATGTTTGTGTGTGAGCTCATGTGTAGATTGGAAGGGGAGAAGCAGTCTAGAGGGTGACTCAAGAGAGGGAGATGGGATACAGGTGACAAGAAGCAGCTCGAGACCCTGGGGGGCCAGCAAGGGGGAGCAGCAGAACAGCATGGAGGAGGCAGGCAACACAATGATGTATGTGCCAATATCACAGTGAAACAACCCATCACTTGTATACTGACTAAAAAGTTAATTTTTTAAAACTAATAGGGAGGGAGGGAGGGGGATCCTGGAGGAGTTGGAGGGGATGTCTGAGGAATGAATATGATCAATATACATTGTATGTGTATCTGAAGTTAAAAGTGGGGGGGTGGCAGAGGACATGAGTTTGGATCCCAGGACCCACTTACAGCATCCTGTAACTCCAGCCCCAGGGGATCCAACACCTTCTAGCCTCTGGGCGCCCATGTGCATACAGCCAGAGCCACCACCCATGTGAGCATAAACAGAAAGGAACTTAGAGTGCTGGCCTAAGCCACCCTCCCATCCCAATTCCTCTGAAGTCTCCTTTTCTCACCTCAGTCTACAGGGAGACATTCAGAGTTCCAGTGCCCCTTCCGCCTCGGGTGTCTGCAGGAGCCAGTCCCGAAACATCGCCCATGGCAGGGGCCACAGCAGCTTGTAAGCAGCCTCCAGCATCAGCAGAGTCAGGAAGAGGACCAGGAAGGTGAGAAAGATCTTGTCCAGAGCACGCCGCAGGGGCCCCCGAGGAGGAGTGGGACCCTGGGCGAAAGCTAGGAACACATCCCCCTCCTCCACACTGCCCTCTTCCTCTGCCATCTTCACCACTGCAAGACAGCTGGCTGGCTCAGTGCCCCTTCAGAAGGCCTGGCTCAGCACTGCCAGGATTAAAGGGCGTGGCTATGATGACCCCGTATCTGATGCCTTTGACCCTAATTCCAGAACTCAGAAAGGAGAGAAAGGTTTTTGAGTTTGGGGGCAATTTTTTATTTCTTTATAAGGTTTTTTTTTTTTTTTTTCCTTGAGACAGGGTTTCTCTGTAGCCCTGGCTGTCCTGGAACTAGCTCTGTAGACCAGGCTGGCCTCGAACTCACAGAGCTCCGCCTGCCTCTGCCTCCCGAGTACTGGGATTAAAGACGTGCGCCACTACCGCCGGGTTTAAGTTTTACTGCGTGAGCATGCTCTCTCACTGCACCGTTCCCGGGGTCCAGGGATCGTACTCGGAATCGGGCTGACAGGAAAAGCACTTTACCTGCTGAGCTAGCTGTCTCCCTAGCCCAAGACAATTATTTGCTCTCCTAGCCTGATGTCACACTCTATGGTCACTACGTCCTGTCCAGCTTTACCTATGTACTCTGCTCGGAAACTGAAGAGCCGGTACAGACACCTAACCCGGAATGGACTGGTATCCTGGCCCTATGTCCGAGCATCAATCTAGGGTCTCAGGGTGGAGGAGCCGGCAGCTGTGACAACAGGTTGGATGGGTGTGGCCTCTTCTAACCGGGAGAAGGGTGAAGGGAGGGTGTCTCTAATCCGAGCAGGCTGGTTTCCTCCTGCTGGGTTTCTGTGGGTGGCCCTCAGATTGGGAAACTGAAACCCGAGGAGGCTGAGCGGTGCCTGAAATCCCAGCCTGCCGCAGGAGGGTCAGGATTGCTAAAGTCTAAGGTGAGTATGTTTGCATAGTCTCAAAACAAAATAAAACAGCAAACCATCTAAGTAATTAAATGAAAATAAGATCAGAAATCCTAAAAACAAACAAACAAATGAGCCCCCTGACTTCTGTGGGGGGGGGGATTTTAATTAGACTGAACACACTAAAGATGTTTGTAAGAGGAGCTGTGATTGGTCTGATGATGAGTCTTGGGCCACCAAAGGAGGAGGGACGTTTGTGTTGGATTCTAAACAGACCCTTATGAAGCTTGTCTTTGGAGCCTGTGAGCGCAGCTGGTGGAAGGACTTACAGGGGAGCCCTCTGGAACAGGGAAGAGGGCCACCAAGGACAGTAGAGGCACAAGCATCCATCCGAGGGCTCACACTTTTAGTCTTATGCCCAAGTCTGAGGAAGCAGGGTAGGTCTGAGGTAAGATAAAAGGGAGTTATGGGGGCATGGGTCAAGAAAGGTGCCCTGTACCAGGAAGCTGGTCAGGGTCTCTCAGCTGAGCGAGATTTCCAGCACGGTCAACAGCTTGGAAGGACTTGACTTTCTCCATAGTTTTCGGGGTCTCTCCTGGAACCTCTGCAATCCTAGTGGGCCCTGGTTTGATTTTATCGTCTTAAACCCTGTCCAGGGCACCCCGTGGTCCCACTCATTAAACTGATGGGAAGGTGCCCCGCATGGTGGCACCCACCGCTAAGCTCAGCACTGAGAGGCAGAGGCAGGCGGATCTCTGTGGAAGTGAGGACTTCAGCGTGTGCAGAATCGAAACATGTTCTTGTTGTTTTGTTTTGGTTTTCCTGGCTCGGCTCTCTCCTGTAGACCAGGTTGGCGCCTTGAACTCACAGAGATCCGCCTGCCTCTGCCTCCCAAGTGCTGGGGTTAAAGCGTGTGTCCCTACTGCCCAGCTAGAATAGAAACTTGAACCTAATTTTAAGTTCTGATTTCTGGGTTGTATCTCCTCCCTCTTTTTCTCTTTTCTCTTTTGTTTGTGTTTGTATTTGTCTCGAGACGGGGTTTCTCCGTAGCTTCAGAGGCTGGCCTTGTGCTCCCCACGCAGCCCATGCTTCCAGCTTTCACCATGGCAGAGAAACAACCCTCGTGAGGCAAGAAGGCAGTTCGACTGAATACAACCCCGTGGCAGATGTTGTTCAGACTCCTGGAGTGGTTTATTTCCTGCATATTTAAGCAGAGCCCAGTTTGGTGGACGCTATCCTGGTGATAATTAGCTCAGTCCCACTTTCACAACAAAGCTACATACATCCCCTTGAGAAACAAAGTAAACCAAATAGAAAGAAATAGGGAAACTCTTTGTAAAATCAGGTTCTGTAGATTGACTTAGAAAAACAAATTTACAGGGCTGGAGAGATGACTCAGAGGTTAAGAGCATTGCCTGTTCTTCCAAAGGTCCTGAGTTCANTTTTGCCTCTGGCCTTTTTCCTTTTCTTCCTTCTATATATCTTACTTTTATCTTACTCCGTGGCTGGCTGGGTGGCCCTTAACATCTTCCTCCCCTTGTTCTCTCATTGCTCTTTGTTTATCATTTCTCCTCTTTATACTCTTTCTGCCAGCCCCGCCTATCCTTGCTCTTGCCCCACTATTGGTCATTCAGCTCTTAATTAAAACCATCGGGTGTTTTAGAAGAGTCACAGCTTCACAGATTTAAACAAATGCAGCATAAACAAAAGTCACACACCTTCAAAGAATATTCCCCAACAAAGGTGGTAAAAGAAAGAATAAAAAGACTCTGGGAGATGGACAGGCTGCTGTGGCTATACACTATGATGCAGGAGACTTCCTGAGGGAGAGAGTGCTAACTTGTTACCTAGGGACAATTACAAGACATGTATTTGGACTCCACAAAAGTTCTGCTCTGATCTCTACTTGTATGTCATGGCATGAGTATGCCAATAATATCAATAATAACAATAGTACTAATAATAAATGGTGATGATGATAATAATACTATATGTGTCTGAGTTTTTGCCTGCATGTATGTCTGTGCAACAAGTGTTTTCAGTGTCCACAGAGGACAGAAGGGGGCATCAGATCCTCTGGAATCGGAGTTCAGACAGATGTGAGCAGTCAAATGTGCTGGGAACCAAACTCAAGTCCTCTGGAAAAGTCGATTGTGATTTGACCACCAAAAAAGCTGTCTTCAGACAGGGTTTCTGTGTGTAGCCCTGATTGTCTTGGAATTCACTCTGTAGACCAGGCTGGCCTAGAACTCACAAAAATCTGCCTGCCTCTGCTCCTGAGTGCTGGGACTAAAAGTGTGCACCACTATGGCCAGCCATAATAGTAATTTTTAAAAAAGAGCCACAGCATTCACTAAGGCCAGCAGGAAGGTGATTTGAGAAGGCAGTGTCACATTGCAGCAGTACCTCCCCGAGGTTAAAGAGCGATGGTGGGAGAGGACTAGCAGGCCGGACTCTTTCAGAGAGAAGGGATGGCAGGGGTCCCTGAACGGACTAGAAGCCAAGTAGCATGACAAGACGGGGTATCTTTTTGTTATCTTTGTTTGTTTGTTTGTTTTTGAGACACAGTTTTCCAGTAGCTATGGAATCAGCCCTGGAATTCACTCTGTAGACCAGGCTGGCCTCGAACTCATAGAGATCCGCCTGCCTCTGCCTTCTGAGTGCTGGGATTAAGGGTATGTGCCACCATTATCCTGCTTGTTGTTGATTTTTAAGACAGGGTTTCACTCTGTAGCTCTGGTTGTCCTGAAACTTACTATATAGACCTGGCTGGCCTCAAACTCACAGAGATCTGGCCGTCACTGCCTCCCAAGTGCTGGAATTAAAGGTATGTGCCACTAAGACCAGCTATAGCTTTTGTTTTTTAGTTTTTTTTTTTTTTTAAATAAAAATCATCAGGCTTTTAGGAAAGCCAGTGGAAACTGATCCCCAGAAGCATTTGAAGACAGAAGTGGTTAACAGAATAAGGAAGTCTCTGGGGAGCAAAACAGGAGCAGCCACAAGGCTGTTGTCACATCTGTCATCAAGGGGAGGCAATAGTGGAGGAGCGGCAGGCCGAGAGCAGTCACCCCAATAAAAAGTCATGATCCCTGTCCAGTTCTGGGACCTGAGCCAACTTTTGGATCTGGAATTTACTGAAGAACTAGCCAGGACCCAAGAAGGAAAGACTGTGACATTGGGACAAGTGTACACTGGAATTGTTCCGTGTTATTCCCCAGAGGGACCCACTTGGAGCAAAGGGAAATGTAAGATGTATGAAGAGCTGTTAGACATGGGGCCGGAGTCGACGCTAATAGTCATAAACCTGGAGCCACCACAGGCTCCCATTAGCATTGGGGCAAGAGGGGTGGAGGAGGAAGACAATGAATGGGATCTTGACCAAAGTCTGGTTCACTGTGGGTCTGTTGACATACTTGAGAGTCACTTCCTGATTCCCTAAGGTGGACCTCGGCATTTGGAATAATTTCCTCCAAGGACCTGTGGGTCAGAGCTACCGCAAGAAGGTTAAAGAGCAAATGGAAGTCACTGGAACTTGTACTTTGTCCCCAGAGACATAAATAACAATCAAAAGCTGAGCACGGTGATGCATGCCTGCAATCCCAGGCAGGAGGCTGAGGCAGGAGACCAATGAGTTGGAATTCAACCTGGGATAGATACCAAGACCTTGAACAAGAAAAAAAAATCAAATCATATTCTGGACGGAAGATGAGAGCACTTGGGAGGAAGAATGCCAGACGGTAGTAGCACATACCTTTAATCCCAGCACTCAGGAGGCAGAGGCAGGCAGTTTTCTGTGAGTTGCAGGTCAGCCTGGTCTACAGAGTGAGTTCTATGACAGTCAGGGCTACACAGAGAAATCCTGTCTCGAAAAAAAAATAATAAAATCCGAGAGGACATCTTTTAGATTATTTATTATGTATAGTGTTCTGTCTGCATGTATGCTGGGAACTGAACTCAGGGCCTTTGGAAGAACAGACAGTGCTCTTAACCTCTGAACCATCTCTCTAGCCCCATCTTGTAAGTCTTTAATGGCAGCTCTCATCTTCCGTTGAGAATATGATTTGATTTACACAAGTTTCTTACCACTTGTGAAATTGCACAATCAGTCACACATATTTGCATTGGTTAGTTTTTTTAAAAATGTTTAAAATAGTTTTTATTTGCCGGGTGGTGGTGGCGCCCGCCTTTAATCCCAGCACTCAGGAGGCAGAGGCAGGCGGATCTCTGTGAATTCGAGGCCAGCCTGGTCTACAAAGGGAGTTCCAGGACAGGCTCCAAAGCTACGGAGAAACCCTGTCTCGAAAAACCAAAAAAAAAGAAAAACAAATTTACGATAAGGGTCTGTGGAGGATCCGGTGCCAGAAAGATCTTTAGTCACGCACGCAGCGCCAAGCGTACTAGGCCAGAGGACAGTCCACTGCAGACTTCTGGGCAGACACAGGTATTTCACAGAACAGGTATTTCACAGAACCGTGTGCACTTTAACATTCCGGGGTCCCCTGGTGCTTATCTGTGCCGCCTTTAATTCAGAGCAATCCCTCTGCCTCCTGAGCATCGGGATTAAGTATGTGGTACTTTCGGTTTTATTTCTTGGAACAAGAGCTACAGATATTTTTCAAATGATAGTTGTTCTGTTGTCTAGTAGTTCATCCCTTAAACATGTAATGAATTTGGGTTGTTTTCCAGAAAGCCTTGGATTTAATACTTTGCAAGAAATCAGCTGGGGAGGGGTGGTCCACAGATCCCAACCCTGGAGAACTGGGGAGCCTCCACGAAGAAATTCAAGGTCAGCCTGGGACACTGGGGATCTTGTCTCAAATAAACAAGCAAGGTGGGGCCCCTCTTTAGCCCCAGCCCTCAGGAAGCTGAGGACTATCTGTGAATTGGAGAACAGCCTGGTTAACACAGAGTTCCAAAACAGCCAGAGCTACATAGTGAGATCTTGTCTCAAAAATTAAAATAAAATCAGAAAAGCAGCCATATTATCCCACCCTTCACTTCGTATCTTAAAATCAAACTTTTTGGGGGAGGGGAGTGTTGCTGTTGTTTGGGAGTTTTTTTTGTTTTTTGTTTGTTTGTTTTGTTTTGTTTTGTAACCATTTCTCTGTGTAGCCCTGGTTGTCCTGGAACTCACTCTGTAGACCAGGCTGGCCTCGAACTCAGAGATCCACCTGCTTCTGTCACCCTAATGCTGGGATTAAAGACTTGCTCCACCACTACCCAGCAAAATCAAACATTTAAAGGTTGCCCCTGTCAAGTCCAAAGGTTACCTATTATTTCCCCGCCTCTAAAAGGGCAAGCCTCTATCCAAGTCTAAGCCCAGCTCAACCTGGACTACAGGATTCCTGGCAGTTAGATAAAAGCCAGCATTCCTCAGGAACTTGTGAAACCAGCTGTCATCTGCCAAAAGAAAGACATTTTCCTTACCTGGCAGAAGGGACATATAGCTCCATTGACGTGTACCTGTGGCTGCACACTGAAGCCCATGCTGGCCCTGAGGTTCCCTCCATCCCAATTCACACAAGTACTATTGTTCATTTCCAAACCCTGAGGGCTGGAGAGATGGCTCAGCCGTTAAGAGCACTGCCTGCTTTTCCAGAGGTCCTGAGTTCAAATCCCAGCAACCACATGGTGGCTCCCAACCATCCCGAATGAGACCTGGTGCCCCCCGCCTTCTTACATCAGACGGCCATCTTTATACCCCCTCCACTCTTCTCCCTGCTCCCCATCCTCTCTCTCTAGTCCTTGCCTATCTCAGTCTCCACTCTCTCCAGCGCTTCCACTTGTCCAGCTTGTTCCTGTTTCCCTCTGCTCTGGCCTCTCTCTCTGTCTGTCTCTCATGTCTACAATAAAAACCTTCC